TAATGAGCAGGCGCGAGTCCATGAGAGGAAACACACCAGTTTCATAGGCTGCTACATCAGTAACCTCTGCTGTTTGGTAAGACTTGTGTACTTAGTGCATTTTAACATAATGATGTTTTCACTACTCACAGGTTTATCTGAATACAACTTCACCATGCATTTAGAAACATCTGTATTTAAATTTAATTATTAAGGTCAAAGCCCAAGGTATTCAACCAAGATTAATTTAAACTTGTGCTAAGATTTCATTATAATTCCCCGGTGTGAGGACTTTTCTTCTATTTACATAATTCTTCATAACTTTCCCATGGTTAATTAGAGTATTAACATAGTCAATCTACAAACAATATTTTTAAGGAGTAATTCATAAATTTACATTCAGTTTTTTGCATACATAGGCTCTTTACCTACTAACCAGAAGAACAAGTTTTTTCAATGATATTGAAAATTAATGAAAGTTTCCATATCATTATGTCACTATTTTTATAGCAGTTGACTATTTTGAAGAAATTTTCAAGACACATATTAGGCTATAATAGTTATTTAGCTTCCTTGGACTAGATGACATCAATATTTTCTATCACTGCCTCCATAAACAAAATGACACAGAAATTAAATATGAGACATAGTTTGATGTTTGATATTTATAGATAAATACTAAATCTGTCATATATCTGAACAAATGTATAACTATGTATGACTGTCTTCAATTATTAAACTAATTTTAAGTGAAGTCATTTCTAATTTATGTATATTCATGACAAATTCTAGCAAAAATATATAAAGACATTTCTTGCAGTTCATCATTCCCTTTGTTTAGGATAATTTGTTACTATTTTAAAGAGTATGAATTCAAACACATTGTAGTTCAGAAGAATGTATGATATTATTCTTTATAAGAATATATGTAAGAGGATGATCTACTTGTGGCCTTAATCAATAACCTGTGCTTTATATGTTAGGCACAAACAAGATGAATAAATCTAACTGATTTATTACCTATATTTGTTGATTATAAAACAAATATATGTAAAGAGCATCAGAATTCTACATGAATATAAAAAGGTCCATTTGGATAGGACAATACTGTAAGTTAGACTTCAAAGAGAAGCAATTAGGTTGGTGTTTACAATTAGAAAAGCTTAATTTTACTTTCTAAATCCTTTCTATTCTTTACTATATTATGCTGCTTTCATAAAAAGGGTTTTTTCTTCTTTTATTTTATCATCTACAGATGCAAAGACTACTGTTTATATAGGTTTGTCTGAGGATTAAATTTAATATGTATTTAAATTGCTTTGGAACAAGGTTTTAGAATATTCAGGCTGCTGTACTGAAATATCTTAGATTGAAAAAGCAAATAAACAAAATAGTTTTCTTCTAGTTCTGAGCATGAGTGGACACATTCTCAAGAAGACAGAAGCAAATTTAATCCAACAGTTTAAAGGATTATTCACTATAATCAAATGCCCAGGCTGTAATGATGATTCAGCGTTCATAAATCAATAAGCACGGCCCCACAATAACAGAGTGCAAGGTGAAATTATAGGATAATCGCTATAGATGCAGAAAAGTTCTTTGGTAAAATTCAGTATTGCTTCATGATAAAATTGCTTAAAAACAAATTAAGTGTACAAGAAACACACCTGAAATAATAAGGCCACTTTTAATAAATCAACAATTAATATACTGAGTGGGAGAAAGCAAAAGCTTTCTCTGAAACATCTGAAATTAGACAAAGTGTCTATTTTCATTCAAGGTCATGGTAGAAGTCCTAGCCAGAGAAAATAATGAAGGGCATTCATATTGAACAAGAGGAAGTCAAGCTGCCCTGTAGATGACAGGACCTAATATACAGAAACACAAAATATTCAATGAAAATATTAGAAATGATAAATTCAACAGGTTATAGTAGGGCCAGACTGATAGCTCAGTGGGCCAAAGTGCCTGCTTAGACAGAGCACCGCAGCTGGGACTTGATCCCTGGTGTGCCTTGCCGGGCCTGCCCACAGGGTGAGTGAGACTGGCATGGTGGTGTGCACCTGTAATACCAGCACTTGGGAGGCTGAAAACAGGAGAATCGCTATGAGTCCAGTCTACATAGTGAGACCCTGTAGACCCTGTCCTAAATACAGGAAAAATAAAAAACAAGTTATAGTACACAAAAGAACCATAAAATCAGTAGCTTTGCTATATACTAACTGCAAAACATGTCAAGAAAGCATTCCTATTTACTATAGCTATGAAAAACTACATAGCGATAAATTTAATTAAAAAAACATAAACCTACAATGAAAACTAAAGATATCAATGAAAGAAGCTGAAGAGGAGTCAGACATAAACCAACAAAAATGGAATAATGCATTGCAGGCATAACAAAAATAAATTCTCTCAAAATATTCACACTACCAAAAATAATCATCAGAGTCCATGCAATCCCTCTCAAAATGCTGATGATGTTTTTCACCAATCTAGAAAAAAATCCTAAAATTTGATTAAACCACACCCACATGTAAAGAGAAATATGTAAATAGCCAAAACCTTTTGAGCAAGAATATATCCAAAACATAGTACAAAGCCATAGCAATCAAAATGGCATGGTACTGGCATAAATATGGATACACAGATCATGGGACAGGGGAGAAAACTGAGAAGTATTCATCCACAACCAATTGATTTTCACTGAAGGTGCTAACAATACACACTAGAAAAAAGACAGTCTTTTCAGTAAATGATTCCTTTCTTTTGCATGAAAAATGCTAATGTAAATAAAGGCCAAAATACGTAATAGGAAATGAAGAGCTAGGTCTTTTGCCAAAGGGAAGGGAAGCCAAGAGATAAAGAGAGAGGGAATACAGCAGAAGGAAAAGGAATGAAAACAGAATTGAGATGTGTAATGTACATGTGTCGGCTCACATGGGGAATGTACTACAGACAGGCAGTAATAAAACTAAAAAACTTTTTAATTGATTACATAGGGACAATTTTGTTATCTACATAAAGAAAAAAGTCACTCAAATCTTCTGTCTTACCAATCATAAAAATTAACTCAAGATGAATTAGATTTATATGTAAGACCCAAAACAATTTACTAGAAGAAAAGACCATAAATACTTCAGAACAAAATATAAGAAACAAAATCAAACATAGGGAAGTGGTAATGCATCAAATTAAAATGCTTCTGCTTGGTAAAGGAAAGAGTGTCAAAATGGAGAGACATCCTACAATGCATAAAAAGAATTGTAAATTATATAACTGATAAAAATATTAATTCACAGAATACAAAAGAAACTCAGAAACCTCAATAGCATAGGAATAACCCAATCTATAAATGTACAATAAATCTAAGAAGACGTACAGATGGTCAATTGGTATAAAAACTGTGCCAATTACTAATCATCAGAGAAATGCGAATCAAAACAATCATGGGATACCATGCTATTGCATAAGAAAACAGTGGCTATTATCAAAAAGTCAGAAGATAACAAGTGTTGTTGAAGATGTAAAGAAAAAAGAAATTTTTCCAATATATCGAGAATGTAAATCAGTACAGCTATGAGGGGAAAAAAAAAAAAAAAAAAGGATAGAGACTCCACAAAAAATTCAAAGCTAAAAGAAGTCAAACGGGGCTGGTGAGATTATTCAGCAGACTAAAGTGCTGGATTAGTCAAGCTTAGGCAATCACAGGGACCAGGGCTCGACTCCCAGCACCGCATGCCACTCCAGCCCCAGGTCATGCTGAGCCAGACAGACTCTGGGAGCAGTGGTGCATGCCTGTAATTCCAGAACTGGGGAGGCTGAGAACAGAAGGATCACCATAAGTCCATAAGTCTGAGCTACATGGTGAGACCCTGCATCAATCAAATACATTAACAAAAAAAAAAAGAAGAAGCCAAATGGAAATCAAAAGGACTTTATCAGAATTCTACATCTCTACCTGTAGGTTTTATCTAATAATTTAATGGTTCATATTTTTCCTGTTTTTAACTGTTTGTATATAAACATGAAAATTTACTTGATGTCATTTTTGTGCATATTTAAGACACAACTGCTTCTCTGGAGTTTGTATATTCAAAAATAGTTAAAATGTGTGGAATAAACTGATCAGTATGACTATTATATATAAAACACGAAAATAGGGAAACCACGTCATCAGCAAGCAAAGTACTGGATATATATTCAAGGAAAAGGAAACCAGTATGTGGAAGAGATATCTGTAGTTCTAAATTCATTGTAATGCTATTCAAAGTAGACAAGAAATGGAAACCAAGTGTCCACTGTATGGTAGAGAGAGAAAAAAAGGAGTACACACACACACACACACACACACACACACACACATTCAATGAGATTATTCAGTGACAAAAAGAAATTCTGTCATTTGAAACAACATGGGTGAACACAGAATACATAGTTAGCTGCTGGAACTCAGGCACACGCCTCCCTTATATGGGGAACACTAAAAAAATGTTCAGATAGAAACAGAAAAAAAGGGCTGGTGAGATGGCTCAGTGGTCTAAAGCACCTACTTAGAACAAGCTTAGCAAAGCACAGGGACC